GGGGGGGGGGGGGGGGGGGGGGGGGGGGGGGGGGGGGGGGGGGGGGGGGGGGGGGGTTCGGGAGGGAAGTCAGGTCCGGCATTGCCCTGAATACCAGCAGCGTCGTTGGTGCTGCGCACAAAGACTGGCCGCCATCCACAACTCGAAGGCAAGTACAACTCCATCATGTAGCCATGTGCTATACAAGTGGGCAGGCAGAAGTCGGGTTGGCGAGTGAAGGAAATGGGGGAGCAAGACACAACTCATGGCCGCGTCGCCGTGATTTTCCTTGATCAGGCACCGCATCTGAGGGGGGCACGGTTAGGTGTAATGGGGGAGAAAAGATCTGGGTCCGTCCATGGCCACAAGCTAAGGCCGCCACAACTAACCTCCGTGGCGTGCTGGCTGCACTGCTCGTAATTCACTGCGTTCAGGACGAAGTTGAACGTCCGCAGGTGCTTGGTCCTGAAGTCTTCCACATACGAGTGTCCCTGCACAGCCACTCGGGCGACCGTTCCTCCCAGGTTTCGTCTAGAAAGCACGGGGCACAACGAGTGGAGCACAAAACTTGTCAAACAGACGCGCCACAACACAATATGATGTAGAAGTGATGCCGGCGATTATTAATGTATTGTTACTCTGGTTGTGTTTTGTCTCCGTCGTTGCAAAGGATCTCTGGTGTGGACCACCTGGGAAGCCTCGAGTCCGTCATGCATACGCACTACCGACGTCATACCACCTCGCGAACGTTGAGTTGACCTCATCCACATGCAACTGGCGTGCTTCCGCGTGGTTGCTCATATTGAGCTTTGCTGTCGAGAGGCGACCTACGAGACACTTGCTTGAATTCAAATGCTACCACCTCCCTTCTGATCAGTTTGCCAGAACACAACCACGGAATGCGTCGAGGTCACTGGACCATGGGTTGCCTCAGCTTGTGTCGCAAAATATGTACCAGTACACGCCAATGTCACAACCGGACGCCCACCTTTGGCTCCTGTTGATGTCATCCTGAACCTTGCCTAAGAGCGCTCGGCCGAGGTGGACATTGTCGCCCTTCCTGGTCACCAGCTTCTTCACCGCAGCATTCATCGACTCAACACGCTGCGTGGAGGCAATGCCGAGAGTGTGCAGCCCAGGGTGGACGTACGACGCCCATCTGCCAGCCCGCCTGTCACGCGTTACGGGACGGCTCAAACTTGGTGGGCACGAGACGGACGACGTCACCAACTGACGGGACCTGCAAACAGGAGAAACAGGAGAAAGGCATCGTCGAAGGAGGAGGAGCAAGACGTCACGCGATCGTGGCCCACTTAGCATCGGCTGCCATTCTAGTCGGTGCTTACCCTGCGCCGAAGATGTTCTCCTCCATGTATTCGTACATCTTGCTCTCCAGGGGCAAGAGGTTGAGGAGCGCCCCTTTACATTGCAGGAAATACTGCAAGAATGAGAATGATAAGTAACGGAGTACGCGACGGGATGGAAGATAATGGACCAGGAGAAAGGTGCCAAGGTCTTTCGTATGAAAGAGACAAAACAAGGAGAGCGGGCCGTTTGGTGTAGCCGCACGCGGCGGCGACGATTCCCGCGCTTCTACTTTCGCAACTCTCTCAAGCGTTGGACAACACGGCCTACACCTGCAAGTCGAAGATCCGTTCGGAATATCACCCACGACAACAACGATTCAACCAAGATGACTCACCTCCTCCGTTTGCGCGTACGCCGCTGCCTTGAAAAGTCCAAGAATCTGACCAAGGACACCGTTTTCAAGACCCCCCCCATGCTCCCGGATGTTCCCCATGGTGTGCCAGATGCACAAGTTGTTCAGCGCCGATGGATAGACCTTCGCGATGGCCAACATCGCGGCTGCGTCATAGTCAGTGAAGACCACCTAATTCAACATTCGAGCACAGTAGACCGGAGGAAGTTCACCGCATGATCACGTTGTGTTCAACTAAATCGGGTTCAGTTCCTTTGTTCTAACATTGGATGGCGCCATTTATGGGCGAGTGCATACAATATTGCCTTGTCATACTCTTGTTTTACCCCCGGGGTTCCTCCTTTGCAGAGCTGCTTGAACGACTCGAAGGCGGACTCGAAGAATTCCGACCGCTTGTCCGACAGCAGAGCTTGCATCGCAATCTGGCTGTGGTTCTCCTTGTCCACCACGACTATCAATGCAATATGGAACTTGTATCTGGTTGGAGGAGGCATGGCACAACAAGCACAAGAAATGGACATGGCGTGCATGAGATCGTGGAGAAGGGACGTGGCATGCGTGAGATCGTGGAGAAGAAGATATCGGCGACACCTTTCTCGACAACGGTATTGCCCCCACAACTTGGGTGCCAAGGGGCTTCAACAAAGAGCGTCTAACACTACACTCACATGTTCGTGTTGAACGTGTAGTCCTGAACGATGATGGAGTGGTATCGTACGGCGTTGTACTTCTGCTGCTGATATGCCCAGGCGATGGACGTGATGCGGCCCTGTTCGTCTGCCTTGAACCTCTCATGAAATCCTCGCTCTGCTGGATGTGCGAAACGAACAGCTGGGCGTCGTTGAATACTCCGTTGTCGGCCTTCGTTCTGCGTCGAACGCATCCCTCATGCTTCACACCTAACGGTAACATGGACAACCCGGCAGTGAACTCGGTTAGGGTGTACTGGGACGAAAGCATGCAGACGAAACAAGAATGGTTTCAACGAAAATGCCGCCGGTTACGTAATTCGTCATCACCCCACTCTTGGGCTACCCCCCGTGGGTTTTTGTCGCTCGGCAACACATGGTGTGCGGGGTGGACAACCCTCACTCTGCGCAAAGGGGATGGTCGCACCACGTTCTGTTTAATTGGCCGAGCACCCTCAACGTATTGACACTGTCCTTACTGCAATCTCTGGAAGAGTGCAGCACGAAAAAATTTCAGGGCTATTCGCAGCTGTCATCCTTAGCCCAACACGCCGCACACCCAGCAGGATGTAGCGGAACCCCCCATACGACTCGCCGAATACCTCACGGCGCTTCGCGCTTGGTGATGTCACAGACTGGTCCGGTGACAAGCCGGCATGATTCCGTGCCGGCTTTGTAGGGATGCGATGTCACCGGCCTAACGACTGCGGCATGCACGGCGATGAGTACTCCCCCCTCCCCCCCCCGTCTAGGTAGCGTTTACTTCAAATTTACCGAAAACAAAACTCTCGCCCACTCACCTTTTGCTTTCCGACTCTCCCCAGCCTCTTTCCGATGCCCTCGAAAGCCTTGCGGATCTCTATCGTTGGAAGATTACGAAAGTGTAGCAGACGGATGAGTTCGGATTCCTTCTCGATGTCCTCCTCTCTCACGTCTTTTTCGTAGCGTCGAGGTCGCTCGTGCTCCATTCCGGCTGAATCGGGGTCGGGGGTAAGATGCGTGAGGCAAACCTTTCCCTGCGCATCCGGTGTTGGGAGGCAAGCGAAGCAGTGTCAACAGTACGCACATGATTAAAGGCCTCCATGTTCAAACAAGCGGGTGCGCTCTTGTCGTACCTCAGGCTACGCGCAGCTGATTTGGTAAGGTGCAGTCGGCAGTGATGTCCGGGGACGGACCCCTCGCCATGCGGTGCTGGCGAAAATATCAAGGGTGCCTTCAGAGTCCAAAGCGTCGGAGCTGGGATTCGAACCCGCATACACATCATTTGTTGAGAATGTCTAGCTGTGGGCTGCCTACATTAACACATCCAACGCGATTCATCCCGTGTTCCGACGTACTTACCCTCAACTTAACTCACCTTTGCAACTTGCGGTGTATTCATGTCGGCCCCCTACCACACCCCCAGTTGAAACTCGCAACCCGCCTGGGATTCGGACAGGGTATAAACAACACGACAGTGTTGTGAGGGTACAGAAAAAATATTTGTCTCCGCGTGGATGGCCATTTAGCGTTACGTCATTTGCGTTCCATACGCACGAAGACAAACCGCGCACACACACATGCACACTGGAGGTGGACTCTCCCACGTCCCTTGTTGCGGTGCTTTGCGCGACAATTACAGCGCAGAGGGTGCGCAACCAGCAAGCAAGCAACAACAGAAAAGCCTAACAAATTTGCCGGAAGAACGCGTCGGAGCATCGCGCGCACAACGGAGACCACAGCGAAGAGGTGAGGCCGCCGTGCGACCAACAAAAGGTCCTGACCCGGCACACAACTACTCCTTGCGTCGACGCTCGCGTTTTCGAGTGCTTCATATTGCAGAGCGAGGGGGACCACAGCGCAGCAGCTCAGAACGTTCAACCGCGGACGATGTCCCGAAAAGTCCATGTAGTGTGCAGCGATCATGTTCAATCGGCGCCGAAAAGAAGTCAACTTCAACCACAAAGCACGCCCCATGTCCACTTCCCATTGCGACTCCTCCCTTGACTTCTCAGATGACTCGTCACCCGACGCGCTGAAAAGGGGGGCCAAGATGCAACGGTGGCGAGAGCTCAACATCGGGAGCTCAACATCAGTTCGTACTTCAGGCAGATATACCTTCTGTGACTTTGTGTTGCAGCGAGCGCTCTGGTCCGCGGCACGTTGACACGCTCTCGGCTTCCCCCCCTGGCAGCGCTTGATCCATACGGAGCTCCATCTGTTCGCATGGGGGAGGTCTTCTCCTGCTTTTTCGTTAAAAGCTGGGGGGGGGTGGCGGCAACACATTCAGATGTAAGCAGCGTCGGATGTCCAACATGAGAGGGTGCGCGCGCATGTCGCTAGTCATACGGCGATTACGGTGGACAAGACGAAAAGCCGAGCCAACAGGCAACTTTCCCACACACCAACACATGGAAACACGCAACGTCACCTTCGTTTTGTTCTCTCTCTTCAGGCTGGAGCCGCGTCCGGTCTTCGCCATCAACATCGCCACTGCATTGTCCATGGTTTTCTCCCCAAAATTGCCGGTCCCGTCTTCGAGGTTGGGAAACTCTAGGTTCTTAATCTCTTCTTCAAGGGGCGCGATCTCGCCTGTGCAAGCGAGTCGAACCCAGGTGCGCGAGGGTGAGAACATTGGAGCACGCGGTTGAGAAACGTACCAACAAAACAACGTACCAACAACACGGTGAAAAACTTGCCATACCCATACGTTTACAGCCTGCCATACCTGGAGATGGGTCCCAGAGGCCTGCACCACCTGCAGGCGAGGGCTCGTCATCGCTATCTTCGCCTTTGCCGGCGTCAAAGGAAGCCCAGCAACTTCCTTCCTCACCAACATCGAGCGTCTCGTCCTCGCTCCAAGCCAGCACCTCCTCCAGCTGCCAAGAGCTTGCCTCAGCAGCGGAATCAACCTCCATCTGCTGTCGCAGACTGGTATGAGGCTGGTGTGAGATGCTAAAGGGAACGCTACTATCGCGTCGGCCGCCAGCCGTTGTTGTAGGCGCGTGTGCGCGTGTGCGCCTGCCGCGTTCTGACGTGGAATCGGCCGGCGGTGGCCTATCGCGCGTAGATACATGTGTAGATGTGCCAGTGGGGTCGTGGGTTTGCGCGTCTCAAAGTTGCTTGCGATCAAAGTGTGTTTCTTAGGCTTTCGTGGGCTGGGAACAGCAGGGAAATTGAACACTGAAACAGGGGGGCAAGCGACATCAGCTGACACAAGGTAATTGCGCCGCTTCCTCCGTATCTATCTAATTGCGCCACTTCACTTTCTCTCCAACTCTCTGTCTCTCTCTCTCAACTAACTGCAATTCCCTGATAAGCTCATAATTCCAACCATAAACCAACACCTTCTCAATTCTAGTCTCCACCTCATACTCTTTTCTTGACCTTCCATTCTATCACGCCTCAACATATATACTGCGATTAAACTACCCCAAGTCTTCTTACCCTGACCTAACCTAGGGTTGACTTATTGCACGACATTCGCCCCCCCCAGGTTCAACGCATAATTATCTGCGATCAGTCTCGTTTGAATTAACACTTGACCACGACGTACAATACCTGACCTACAACCAATGTCATTTCTTTGCAGCAAGTCCGAACATTAATCACCAGAATTCAACTGATGCAATTCACACACTCTCCAATTCCGTCAAGAACGTGGTACCAATGCAATATGACTCCATCACAAGGTACATTCTTTAGCCAAAACAGGAATTGCTCAGCACAACATTAATTTTTTTGACCCGTATTCGACTGCACCACTTGGCACACTTTTCCGCAGTCCTACGCACTTCAAATTCAAACACCTAATAATCATCTTCCAACTCAAACATGTACTTCTTGACACTTTTTGCCGTTCGGTGTGCATGCCAGCACCACGTTCCTGGAATTTGTACCAGGTTGTCCGTCGTCAGATTCTTCTTCCGAAGCGCCACATTGATGCTTTTGCCGATGTCCACCAGCTTGATAGTATGCTTGATGCCTTGTTCCCACCTCGGATCCGGAGTCCCTCCGGCCGATTGTTCCGGCTGCTCATTCCAATTTTTAAGTACCACGTCCCCATATTGCTCTAGCTCTACTTCATGCTCCCACGTACACTTAGCCAACCCCGTCCAATGCTTGTAGTACTGAACCGCCCCCTTCCCACTTATACCTCGACAAATCCTGTGCCTTGGTATTTTACACGGGACCAATTCTTTACTATCCACTTCTTCCTCCAAGTCCTCTGCCGTAAGGTGGAACGGAGGCGCTAACTCTGAAATTTATTCAACACGTACTTGCTTATGNTTGATGCTTTTGCCGATGTCCACCAGCTTGATAGTATGCTTGATGCCTTGTTCCCACCTCGGATCCGGAGTCCCTCCGGCCGATTGTTCCGGCTGCTCATTCCAATTTTTAAGTACCACGTCCCCATATTGCTCTAGCTCTACTTCATGCTCCCACGTACACTTAGCCAACCCCGTCCAATGC